ATCCGGTATGCTATTGGCAGCCAGTGCAGCGCTTTCAGCACAGGCTGAATGTGGTCCCTCCTCGAGAGGCCCATCAACAGCCTGGCTGCAGCATTCTGCACTAGCTGCAGCCTCCGAATTCGCGACAAAGGCAGCCCCATGTAGAGAGCGTTACAGTAGTCTAACCTTGAGGTAACCGTCGCATGGATCACTGTGGCCAGGTCCTCACGGCTGAGATAGGGGACCAACTGCCGAGCCAGCCGAAGATGGTAAAAGGCCGCCCTGGCAGTGGTTGCCACCTGGGCCTCCATCGTTAATGAAGAGTCCAGGCGCACCCCCAAACTCCTAACCTCCGACGATGGCACCAAAGGCGCCCCATCGAAGGTCGGGAGAGGGAGCCCCAGTCCCACGCCGGTCCGACTCAGGCCCAGGACCTCCGTCTTTTCCGGGTTTAGTTTCAACCGGCTCAGCCTGAGCCAACCAGCCACAGCCTGTAACGCCCGATGAAGGTCATCAGGAGTAGAGCCCGACCGGCCGCCCAACATCAGATAGAGCTGGGTGTCATCAGCATACTGATGACAGCCCAGCCCACACCTCCGAGCAATCTGGGCAAGGGGGCGCATGTAGATGTTAAACAACATCGGGGACAACACGGCCCACTGCGGCACCCCACACTCCAGGGGGTGCCTCCGGGACCGCTGATCCCCTATCGCCACCCTTTGTCCCCGACCCTGGAGAAAAGAGGCAAACCATTGTAAGGCTAGCCCCTGAATCCCCACGTCGGCGAGGCGGTGGGTCAGCAGCTGGTGGTCGACCGTATCGAATGCAGCCGCCACACCACCCCGATCCAGATGCCTACGGAGATCGTCAGTCAAGGCGACCAGCACAGTCTCCGTCCCATGACCAGGGCGAAAGCCGGACTGGTAGGGATCGAGGATGGAAGCATCCTCCAGAAAACTCTGAAGCTGTAACGCCACCACCCTCTCAATGAGCTTGCCCAAATAGGGCAAGTTAGACACCGGCCGGTAATTAGCCAATTCGGCAACAGAATGAGGGAGTCAAAAAACAAAACACAAGCAAACATCAGCCCAAGGACTACCCTAGGCTCCTATAAGCGGGCGATATCCATCATTGGGCAAAGACAGCTGTGATACTACCCCTGTTTTACCTTCCTAAGAACCTTCCAGGTCTTGAAGTTCTACCAAGGCTGTACTCGAAGTTCCGTCTCAGGGTTGCCAGCTCTGGGTGGGGAAATAACTGGAGGTTTGGGGGATGGAGCCCAGGGAGGCAGAGGCTTGGGGAGGGACCTCAGCGGGGTATAACGCCAAAGAGTCCATCCTCCAAAGCAGCCATCTTCTCCAGGGGAACTGATCTTGGTCATCTGGAGATCAACTATAATAATCATGAGAGATCTCCAGGTGCCACCTGGGGGTTGGCAACACTATCAATGGAAGCAGCACTGTTAGCTTCAAGGAGGTCCAATGTGCAACTCTCTCCGCCGGCCCCATGGTGCTTCCTGCTGCACACTCTCTCCCTTCTGGTGACAGATTACGTCTGTGCTTCTTATTGCCACACGTGAAGCTGTAAGATCCAGCCTATTTTTATGTCACTTTTTCTACTGAGCGTATTCTTTGTTTTATGCTTCTGTGATGGTTCTTATGGTGTTTTTACAGCATACTATTTTAAAACTATTTTAAACTTGCGCATAGCAGCATATAATTTTGAGAGAGAGAGAGAGAGAGAGAGAGAGAGAATGTATGTTTGGGCTTTGTAAGGTTACCAATGAGAAATTTCAGACAGGCAATATATTCCGGTTCAGGGAAGGTTCCCAAACAGTTTCTGGTCTGACATTTCAGACAGAACCGTTTTAGAACCGGTTCCCTACCGTAATATATTTGTACTTTCACACACAAATGCTTCTGTCCCGTTCAGAAAACAGGGCTGAACTGTTTTACCTGTAAACCACTTCCAAGTAGTCTTCAGTTTCTTCTCCCGGATCCGAAATGCTTCCCCCCCGCCGTTTTTCGCCCGTGCGGGCGATCTCCGGCTTTTTTAAAATGTTCACTTTAGAGTGCTGTAGTGCTATAGCACTATAACACAACAGCAAAACAGCGTTATAGCAACCCCATTGGAATGCCTGGAGTGTTGTGTTATAGCGCTATTGCACTCTAAAGCGAACGTTAAAAAAAAAGCCGGAGATCGCCTGCATGGGCGAAAAACAGCAGGAAAAAGCAGTGGAGTCTGAAATGGCAAACCGCTTCAGATCCAGCTGTTTGGGGAAAGCCATGTGTGAAATGGCAGCCCTATACCGGTTTACTCCATGACGGATCAAAAACGGCTTAAAAAGGGTAATGTGAAATTCCTCACAGTAAGCATAGACAATGACCCTCAAGAGAGAAGCGTAAACCATGTGGCTCCTTTTTGCTGTCTTGTGAAGACAAGAAGGATAAGGACACATGTTTTGCTGGTTCAAATCAAGGTTCATCTAGTCCAGGATCCCATTTTCAACTGCAGATGACTCGTGAAGTTCACAAGCAAAGGGTTAGCTCCTTTGTAAGGAAGGTGTCCCTAATGGGTCAAAAGGCAGCTTCAAGCCAGATTGCAAGGATCACACAGAGATGCTTGGCCAATTTATTTTCAAACTGATTTTTTTTTCTGCCTTCAAATTTTTGCACCTAGTATGTACTTTTGGAAAGGACAACCAGCTTTCCAAGATGGGTGAGGAACATGCAGTAATAAACTGCCCTTAACATGAATGAGTCTTTGTAGTCAGCGCCAAGAAAACTACTTGCTGTTCCAATTATAAACCCTGAAAAAATGGGTACAGGAACGAGGATGACAAAGAGGGCCCTCGGACTGAGCTTTTCCTCTCCATTAGCAGGTAAGAGTAATAAGAGAATCAGCCAACTTGTGAAATGATGTAAACATTAACCAGACATTCCAAGGAGCCAAGGGATTGTGTTTGGACTTCACGGCACTTCGTGATTCCCGTCACTTTTGGAAACGGGATGTTCTACTAATTAACTCAGGTGCAAACATTCCTGGGTCACTTTGATTCCTTGTTTGCAGCACTGAAACAAGGACCTGTCAATTATAGTTTGTTCTTTACAGGGCTGCACGTTCACCTCTCCTGTGAAGTATAGGAATTCCTCCTGGAAGAACTGAGAACAGCAGCCCACGGGCGAAGTTTCAAAGCCCTACCAAACTAATTGGGGCTCACCTCCAATAAACCACGGTTAGGATCGAGGAGCCAACTCCCACTTTTTCTGAGGCAAAAACATTCTTTCCACTTGCGATGTTCATAGAGTTGCCAGCCTCAAGGTAGTAGCTAAAGATCTCCTGGGATGACAACTGATCTCCAGATGACAGAGGTTGGTTCACCTGGAGAAAATGGATGTTTGGAAGGTGGACGCCCTCCCCTCCCCAAACCCCGCTGTCCTCAGGCTCCACCACCCCAAATCTCCAGGTATTTCCCAAACTGGAGCTGGAAACCCCAGATGTGCACTACATTGCCATTGATTTCAGTGGGTTTGGAATGTGGGTCTTGCAGTGAGCAGGGTATGCAAGCCTACAAATACAGAAGGAAAGGAAATGGTAGCCACAAGCAAAACCATAGTTCAGTGGTGTCTTTGCATGTGTCTACTGCCTGCTTACAGACATGCATCTCCCCTTTGCTCTTTATTCACCGTGGAAAATACACCTGTAGCACAAAACAGGCATTGGCTCTAAGCTGGCCTTTTAAAAAAGATAATTTCAAGAACAAATGTCCCCATGAACAGCAAAGAGCCTCTCTATCTTCTGTAATGTTGGTCAGTTGCTGGATTGCATTGAAACAGACATGGAAACCTTTTCCCACAAGGTACAGGCAGGTGTGCATGCACTGTCAAAGGTACTGTGGAAATAGGAATTTATTACCTGTAAAGCAGCAACTCAGAACAGCTCATCTGGGTGCAAACCATATATGTGGTTGGATCCTGCCAGCTATTCTGTTCAATCTTGCCCAATTCCCATTCTTAATAAAGTCCTCATCCCATATGGCTTTGAACAATGCAGGCCCCAAGAACCCCAGCATAGCATTTTAGGGGTGGTCAAAGGTGAAACCTCCCCCTTTTTTTCACCAGCTGACAACCTGGTTGGATCAAACCCATGCAGTGTCACAACATTCAGCTTTGAAAACACACAGTCTTGCCTCTTTCTGCAGGTTCATGGATTTGGATTTCTTGCTCTTGACAGACAACCCAGCATCAGTTCCTTGGTCTGAGCTCCCTCTTCGGCATCTTATGCTTCCGTCCATTTTGGCTTAATATCGGCAAACCCTGCAATCAGCATCAAGTACATTGTGATTTATAAATACCTACATAGAACCGTGATTCATAAATACCTAAATACAATGGGCTGGATCCCTGCCATGTATCCAAAAGGGATCTTTCTACTCTTGGCAGATG